CCTCCTCCTCCTCCTCCTCCTCCTCCTCCTCGTCCTCCTCCTCCTCCTCCTCCTCCTCCTCCTCCTCCTCCTCCTCCTCCTCCTCCTGGCCCATTTAGTTTATTTGCTTGCACGGCCCGATGCGACTGACCCTTTTGGCAGGCATCCGTGCTGAACCCAACATCTGGGGCGAGACTGAGGTCGTCCTGGCGCTGCTTGCACCAGGGGCTTCGGACCTCGTCGTCCTTGTGTGGGTGGTCGAGTTTTCCCAGTGGCGAGGGTTCGCCTTCTCGTTTTTCTCTGCACGGCCCGATGCGGCTGGCCCTTTTGGCAGGCATCCGTGCTTTACCCCACATCTGGGGCGTGACCGTAGTCGTCCTGGCGCTGGCTGCACCAGGGACTGCGGGCTCGTCGTCCTTTTGTGGGTGGTCGAATCTTCTTCTTTGCTTTGTTGTGTGCAGTGCGTTGTGCGTGCGTCCGTCGCGCACGCGTGCCAGGCACCCCAATCCTGGGGGAAGGTGCATGCACACCTAGGGTGCGCCTCTGCATGTCCGAGCACGGGGGTATATTTATCCTGACTGTGGCTCGTCTGATGTTGCTGTGGCCTGGAGCTTTGGTTCCTGGCCCCAACATCTTTTTGGTAGGCGTTGGGCGCGCGTCTTCGTGCGTGTGTACGTTGCTCGTCCCTCCGTCTTGCCCTCCACCTCCTGGAGCCACAGGCTCTTATGGAGGGGCGCTGTCTTGTTCGCAGTCCCTCTTGTTCAGCCGAGGGCAGCGTTACGAGAGAGCCTTCCAGTTGCAGCTCTCTGCAGTGGGAAGTTGTTGCGCTTACAGCTCTGTGCCGCTGTATAGGCGTGTGAAGGGGACCTGGGGTTTTAACGCTTAGCTGCATTGACCGTCCAGGCCGCTGGAGCTCGTGCTTGCAGTGTAAGTCGCTGTTTCGTCGGCGGGGGAGGTCCTGCTTACCCGTCGCTGGGGTGAGCATGGCCGAGCCCGTCCTGGAGGGCAGAGCATTCCTTGCTCGGCCCTCCACCTTCAGCAGCAGCTCCGACAACTGGGCTGCTGAGCGCCAAGGAGCGCCCTCAGACGAGTGCCAGTCGTCTGTTGAAGTCAGGCAGAGGTCCTTGTTAAACAAATCCTCCTCCTCGCCCTCCTCCTCCTCCTTCTCCTCCTCCTCCTCCTCCTCCTCTTCCTCCTTCTCCTCCTCTTCCTCCCCCTCCTCCTAACTCTCCTCCTCCTCCTCCTCCTCCTCCTCCTCCTCCTCCTCCTCCTTCTCCTCCTCCTCCTGCTCCTGCTGCTCCTCCTCCTCTCCTCCTCCTCCTCCTCTCTCCTCCTCTCCTCCTCCTACGCCTCCTCCTCCTCCTCCTCCTCCTCCTCCTCCTCCTCCTCCTCCTCCTCCTCCCCCTCCTCCTGCTCCTCATCCTGCTGCTCCTCCTCCTGCTCCTCCTCCTCCTTATCACCATCCTCCCCCCTCCTCCTCCTCCTCCTCCTCCTCCTCCTCCCTCCTCCTCTCCTCCTTCTTTTCCTCCTCCTCTTCCTCCTCCTCCTCTTCCTCCCCCTCTTCCTCCTCCTCCTCCTCCTCCTCCTCCTCCTCTCCTCCGCCTCCTCCTCCCCTCTCCTCCTACCCCCTCTCCTCCTCTTCCTCCTCCTCCGCCTCCTCCCCCTCCTCCTGGTCCTTCTCCTTCTCCTCCTCCTCCTCCTAACTCTCCTCCTCCTCTTCCTCTTCCTCCTCCTCCTCTCCTCATCCACTTTCTCTCCCTCCCTTCTCCTCTCCTCCTCCTCCTCCTCCTCCTCCTCCTCCTCTCCTCCTCTTCCTTCTCCTCCTCCTCTCCTCCTCCTCGTCCTCTTCCTCCTTTTCTTCTTCCGTCTCGTCCTCCTCCGCCTCCTCCCTCCTCCTCCGCCTCCCGTTCCTCCTCCTCCTCCTCCTCCCCTTTTATATACCTCCTCGTATTCCTTCTCCTTCTCATCCTCTGCCTCATCCTCCGGCTCCTCTGCCTGCCCATTGTGATATGCCTCCTCCTCCTCCTCCGCCTCCGTGTTCTCTTCTTCATTATCGTCCTCCTCCCTCATCTCCTCGTCGTATTTCCTCCCCCTCCTCTTATTCCCTCCTCCTCTTCCTCCATTTCCTCCCCCATTTTCTCATCCGCCTCCTCCTCGTTATCCTCATCGTCGTCCTCATCCTCCTTCCGCTCCTCTTCCTGATCCCCCTCATCCGATTCCTTCCCCTCCCCCTCTTCCCCATCGTGATCATGGACTTATTCCTCCCTCCGTCCCTCCTCCTCGTTCCTCCCTTCCCCCCTCCCTTCCCCCCTTCATCCTCGTTCTCTTCCTCCTCCTCCTTTTCCTGCTTATCCTCCTGCTGCTCCTCCTCCTTCGCATCTCCCTCCTCTTCCTCCTTTTCCTCTTCCTCCTCCTCTTCCTCCTCCTCTTTCTCCCTCGTCCTCCTCCTCCTGCTCCTGCTCCTCCTGCTTCTCTTCCTCCTCCTTCTCCTCCACCTCTTTGTCCTCCTCCTCCTCGTCCT